TTCATTCGAATATTTATACTTAAACTCAACTCCTGGAGTATCTGGTGTTTCAATGATGCGGATGTTACCTATTTTCATGAATATTGGCGTTTGACCACAGCATTCGATTTCAGGGTCGAGATAGTCAATGACACATTGTTTCCCTGTTATTCGTGATATAACATTTTCAAGGTCCTCCTTTGTTAGAATTATTTGGTTCTTGCTTATAAGATTTGTCAAAAGCTTCTTATCGTCTTTGAGTAAGATAGTTTGGTATAACTGAAGAAGGTAATGGTCTACGTTATCTGAAGAATTTGTTTGAACATTTGTGTAAGGGTTGTCGTTGGCTTCACGTGAAAGAATTTGGTCCAGTGGTGGATACTCTAACTTAACATCTGATGTAGCGTTAGCGTTTGAAGCTGAGTTTAAATTCACCGACTTAAGTTCTGGTTCTTTTTCTTTCAAACACTCTGAACTATAGTTCTTTATGACAATATTGTTTGTCGTTCGTGAGTCAACATTTGATGTTGGTTCAATTGGAACATTAACGGCACCGGCTAAGATGGATTTACTTCTCATTTCATATAGAATAAAAACCTTTTATATGTATGAAATGAACAATATACTCGACAAGGGTTTGAATGCAAAGCTAACGAATGAAAATATTGTTGAATTCACTGAGACAGGTGCTGTGTATAAAGATGTAGAACTACTGAACAAAAGAGCTAAGGGAAGAAGCAGGAACATGAACAAAGGGTGGAAGCCTATAAAAATTTATGTCAATGATGGCTCAGGAGGTTCAAACATAAAGTATGCAGAAAGTTATAGAGTTTATGCTCTCAAGGGAAAAGCCTTCATTTAAGAACAGCTATTCTAACACATATCCTCAAAAGCTAACGGATGGGGAAGTGGATGATATGAATGACAGCAAAAATATTAACAGAAATGGCGACAGAGATGCATGGAATTTGTTTACCATCAGTCAATTGAAGGTTAAACTTTAAAACAATGTTGGTCGTTCCCATGGAATATTTTTGACTTTAATGGTATTAGTCATGATATGAATCTCAAGGTATGAACGAGGAGAGATGAGAGACTTATATGCTTCCCAAATTTCTTCAAAAGGTAATGTTATACCTGACTGTTTCCAAATGAGTTCAATATCATAACGTGAGAAACCTTGAAAGATAACGAAGTCAGTTATGAGACGTTTTATGTTTAAAGCTAAAAACCTCCATGTTTGCATAAGTATTGCTACAGTTAAGTGGTAATGTCTGACTTTAGTATGATGTTAGCTAATGGTGAGTCAGGTTTTGACACTAAACCTTTTCCGGCGAAGTCGTCACAAACGAGCAGAGTGTTTGAAGGATATTTTTTGAAGGGTATTTTGAAAGTTTTGATAGAATGTAGTTTGTCAGTCGTTTCATATCGTAAACTCCTGAGTACTGACGTAAGTGGTGTTTGTCAATAATTCTTTCCATCTCCTCAGAAGTCTTTTGCATTCCTGACTGTATAAACTCAACGATGGCATAATATTTCCTCTTACGTCGAATGTAACGTTGAAGAAATTCAATGAGTTCACTGTCTGGAACTTTAACGACAGAGGCTTGAACTTTTGACATAAATGTTTTCGCTGTTGAGTCCATAGAGTCTGAAGTTGCTGATATAATGATTTGGTCATAGTAAGAGTCGCTTCCTAAACGCTCTGTTATGAGTATATGACGAATGAGGTTAAATGTCTTTCCTGACCCATCTTTCCACAATAGAAATAAAACACCATTTGAACAGAACTCATAGTCCTTACTGAAAGGAAGAATGAGAGAAACTGTTGAGCTTTTCACTGCTTTCATTCATGTCTTCATCTACGTCATGTATTAAATGCTTCATTTTATCTCCATTAAAAATGCAAGTCAGAAATATTCAGAACATAGCACCGAGTCTAACTGACAAGAGTATAAAGATATACTATGAACACGTTATGATGAAACCTACCAAAATTCAAGAAAGTCAGTATACTTATGAATATCCAAGACACTGGGTAGAGTATGTAGGAGGTGAGAAAGCTATTGAAATCAGACAAGTTAGAAGTATTCCAGCAGGAAGAACAATATTATTGAAGAACTTTAATGTTTTGAGGTATAATGATGAAACAAAGAAGCAAGATAGTTTTCCTGTTGCTGTGTATGTGAACCTAGACACAGGAGATGACATGAAAGTTTTTAACACAAAGCTTCAAACGGTAGTGAGAGAACAACTTACTGCGGAAGGACATCCATTACCTTCAGAAGTTACCATAGCATATAATTTTGAAACAAACTCAATAGATTTTAAAGTCGTCTCTGCAAAGAAGTCAGGTTTTACATTTAATGAAGCAGATGTATATTCGAATGAAAACTTCAAAGCTATTGCATGGTTATAATGACGATTGCTTTAAGAAAATCTTTAAATTCAGTGACTCAAAGATGTCAATAGATGACCTTCGTGGAATGTTACCATCGACGTTTACAGTTGAAGGTTCAGCAGGATTGCTTACAAGATTGTCAATTGGTGGCATTTGGTCTCGTGAAAACATTGTTATAAAATCCAGTATAAGTGAATTTGCTGAAGAATCTATATTATGTCTTTCAAACTATATGTATTCGCCGCCGAAGCATTATAGTATAACAAACTTTGTCAGTAAGTTTAATATAAGACTTGTTGAACCTTCTTCAATGAAAGATGTTGTGCTACCTAAAGATTGAAAGGATGGACTCATTATTGAAATGATTTTAATTGCATATTAAATAAGCTTGTTCTTGAAGGTCATTCATGATGAAATAACTGTTGTAGAAGATGTTAGCAATTATTCAGACATTTTGAAGCGTATAGATGAGATAAGAAAGAAGTTAGATAGACCGCAAAGCGGTGAGGGCGAAGCCCGTGAGAACATTTATGTTTCATTGACTTTCTCCAGTAACGAGAACTTTTATGAGATAATATTGAAGAGAGATGATTTTAATATGGTGTAAATGGTAGCTTGGGCAGCTTTAGGCGCAATGGGAACAAAAGCATTAGCATTTGGAGCAAAAGCACTTGGAGCTTATGACGCAGTAAATAAAATGAGTGGAGGAAGGGTTTCAAGACATTAGATGCAAATAAAGGAAAGATTGGAGGCTGGGTTGCAAAGAAGTTAAGATTAAATAAAATAGGGCTCATAAATAAAGCATCCAATTTGGTTGCGACTGAGTCAGAAAATGCTTTAGGAAAGGACGATGAGTTTGCAAAACACGCAAAAGACTTTAATGACCAGATGAAAGGTGAAACAATGCATTTAAATAGAGTCGATGGAACTAAAGAAAATGTTTCTTCTCCACAACTTCCACCAGTAGTTCTTCCGTATGGTCCCTATGGAATGTATGGAAACCCTTACGAAAGACCATTTGACCCATTGACTGGTGGAAGTAACTGGTATCATTACGGACGAAGGAGAAAGACAGTCAAGTTGGAGACGGACGTAAAGAAACCAAGGAAGAGAGTTATAAAGCAATGAATTCAACAGGGTAGAAATGAGGTTAGAAATCGGGTTAGATATACCCATCTACCCTAAATTTATTTTTGTGCTATGTTTTCATACGTGTGAGGGTGGTGATATCATTTATTTTTTATTTTATTTTTATATAAATGACGAAAACTATTGAGATAACAAACTACAACGGTCATGAGTTCAAGAACTTGTTCTTCGTTCCTCGTGAAAATACATTCTATCAGATACGAGGGAGAAAGGGTAAAGTTAGTTTGAGCGTTTACGACAACAAACATAATGGGAGATATATAAAAGCAATAGATACAAACGGTAAGCGTGTTTCATTAGCTTTGTCAAAACTTACTAACATTTATTTTGACAGTGACTTTGACTCTGACGATTGGAGTGACAGCAGCGATAGTGAAGAATATGAACTGTTGTGTGAAGCAAAGCAATGGGAAGAGTTGCAATACTTTTGTAAATGAGAACGTTTATTTTTTACAGTAGTAAAGTCGTTAGTGAAAACGTTAGTGAGGTGAAGTGGTTGGTGGCTTTGTAAATATTTAAGGTTAAGTTAGTTTTTGCGTTCGTGTTGTAAAATATACGTTAGCGGTTTTGTAAAGTATCAAATTCACAAGTATTGGGTAAGGTGGAACGCAGTGCCTCCGTACCCAAGATATGTATACTAACTTTTTTTATAGACATCACATGTATATTATAAATACATAAATATATTCTTTAATTCAAAAAATTCAATTCGGTTTTGGGATGGGTATCCCAGCCCCAAGTATTCAATTTTATTCAATTTTTTAAGAATTTTGGGTTGGGATGCCCAGACCAAAACAAGCTTTATATTTTGATGTGTAGATACGTATGTGTGCATCATTGTTGTGTTATATATTATGTTTTTAATGAAAAAAATCTGATTCAAAAAAATTATCACTAATTAGTTGATAATATAAAGAAAAAATAGATAAATTGTATGTTTTGAGAGTATTTATCCACATTCACTCATATGAATTTCATTAAATAGTGTCTTTTTACTCCCAAATTTATTTTGAATTATTGAAATCAAAGAAAAAAATCAGAAAAATTTCTCGAAATTTTTATTTTCAAAAAAATTTGGATTTTATATTGAAAACTGACACTGGGAGGACGATAGGGCTGGGATTGGAGATACCCCCCTCACTTGGGAAAAATATTTTGAACATAAAATCTGAACATGAGAACTACTGAACAGATTGTTGTATTTACGTATTGTTAAAAATAATGATTTACATAAGGATATTCTTGAATTTTAGAAAAATACAATAATTTTTTATTAAAACATCAAAAACAAATAATATAATAATATGCAGTTGATAGTAATTGTTTTAAGATAGAATTAAACCTTAAAAACTTTTAATAGAAACAATCAAATTGAAATTTTGTTGAATTCAAGATTAATAGTTCTAAATTTCATCGAACTATCATGAATATATCCGAAACAGAGATTAGCGGTTATAAAACAAAGTAAAAATTAAATCAATGGTATTTCTTCACTGAAAGAGTAAGATTCCCAACTGAAGTCTGGCTTGTATTCGTTAATCAACTTAACGCACTTATTCTGAGCCGTTGAATTAATCAAGAAACGAGTCATCACATTTTGAGTATTTTCTTCCATTTTTATCCTTGTTAATGGACTTTTATTGAGTCTATATGCAAAGAAATTGAGAAGCACATCAGCGCATTCAATGCCAAGATCTTCTTTTAATTGTTTTGGTAATAATTTGACAAGAATGTTATATAAGTTCATGTATTGGTAATTAATGATAGCAAAGTTTGTATGTATCATATTGTAGCCGTTCTGAATATCACTACTTTCCTTTGATTTCGAAATAGAACTGGCAAAAGGTCCATAAATTTTGGAAACTCCTGGCCGATCAATGATGTTATACATTATCTTTTCTAATTTATTGAAAAAGTTCTGTGTTGTAAGAGGAAATGTATCATCTATGAAAATAATATGATCTGACTGGATTAATGGTGGGAAATAGAAGTAATTATCAATAGTTCTTCTTGATGAATCAACTTCTGTAATGCTTGTTTTGATATTGGTAAATTTCAGAAAATTAATTTCCTTTTTTCGGAAAATATAGATATGAGAGCATAACCCAAGGTTTGCATTTGATAATTGGTTCACGAAATCAATAATATTTGTTTGATTTTCGGATTTGATATTAAAAAAAATTGAATATTTATTATTTTCTGATGGAATCTTGTTTTCTTTGAAGCTGTTAATGTCAAATAGTTCAATATTCCTATATTCTTTGGCTGGTGAAGCATTAGTAATAAAACTTAAAAGCTTTGCCAGCATATTTAGAATTTTGTCAATTGATGCAATTTCAAATTGAAAAGATTACAAAATAGATTCAAAATTTGAGATACTCTGAATCTGAAAATGTTCGAATGTTAAGATTTAATTAAAGAAATTGATCTAATACATAAGAAATGTAAATAAACCATTGAAAAATTTGAATGTTTTATAGATAACGTTAAAAGTTCACCGAATATTTTTGTGTAAGAGTTTATTTTATTGTCTGAATATCAATTTACTTAAGAATTACCCTATGATTAAATATAAAATCTAAAAACCCTTATGAAAGATCTGTAAATTGAGGACATTTCAAAAAAATAATCTTAAAATAATCATATCATGTGTTTCAAGCAATATAGGTGATTTTTATTTTCAGGTTAAAATTGACGATGCAACTTTCAGAAAATTAATTGAGAACTAGATCAATTGTAGGAGGATATTTGTATTGGAGCTAATTATTTCGCTACGTTTTGGGTTTTTATTAAAACCATTCCAAAATTCATCTTTCATTAGAATAAGGAGAATAATTGTACACATTATGGGTGTAGAATTTGAATTTTTGTTCAGATGACCCTAGCGGTCGAAAACTTTATCAAAGAAAGGAAACAATAAGAGTACAGTATACATTGTGCGTCGCCTGTAGCCTACAGCTACAGGCACCGACACAATGAAAAAAGTGACAGAAAACTGACACCATACGGGCGCGCATATGTACGCATATATGTGTAAAAATAAACGTTCATATGTAAACTAACCTTTATTCACTAGCAGGGGCTGATAAATCATAATCGTCGAGAAGTACGATAGGTGGTCCCACCTGTTTAATCTGTATGGAGAGGCAAACGTGACGTAAGAAGCATAACACTGGTTTCTCAGTATATTTAATAGACTCTGCTGTTGGCTTAACTGTAAGCTTATAAAAGAAGCAGATCACGGAGGCAAAGAAACGCTTACATCAACTCCTTGATGAACAATAAGCTTACTTAAGACTAAACAATTAATTATACTAACTTTTATACTTTTTCTCTTTTCCTAAGTTGATCGTGATCACAAAGATCGTGATCTGAGTGACAATGAACTATAAGTTATATGAGGATATATGTGAGTAATATGAGTAAAAATAAGAGTTATAGTAGTAAAATTAGGTGTTTATTCGTGGTTTAGAGGAGGGATCAGAAGCCAGTGGCTAAGTTCCTTATGGCGCGCTTTAATTCATGGTAGGATGTGTCAGCCTTAAGGAACCTTTCATGCCAGCTGTCTGACTCATGTCCCACACGGTTGAGACGAGATCGAAGATCGCAGATCTCGTTGGCATAAGAGTCAACTTTATACTCAAGCTGGCTGATGTAGAGCTCTTTACCTTTCGCTTCCTCTACTTTTTCAGCCAGCTTGAGCTTTAGTTCCTCGAGAGCTACGTTTGACTCCTCCAGCTGCTTCAAATACTTGTGGCTGGTCTTGATTAAACGTAGCTCTCGAGGAGTAGCTCGTGGACCCGTTTTCTTTGCCGTTTGCTTGTGATCGAGATCTGGGATCTTGATCTCGGTCTTCGGACTCTCGCCACCCATCAATATTTCCTCGTCGCCAGAGGACTGTTCTTCAGTCACCTCTGGCTTCTGGATGGCAAGAGTCTTAGCAGGAGCTGTGTTGTTCGCTTCCATTAAAATGTAAACTTTACGTGTCAAAAAAATTCTGTCACGTAAACTATTTATGTTGAGATTGAGTACCAGACTCTAATATAAGTTCAACCATTATATTAGAGTCTTTAGGAATTTCATATGGTTCTTTTACATAATATTCCTTTTTTTGACCATCAGTTGATTCTTCAACTCTTTTGAATGAAAAGCGCTTATAAAACTCAAACACGAGTGCATCTTTATAACCAGTGATATCGTAAAATTTTGGTGGCACAAGCTGTTCATTCACATTACATATAAATTGTTTGTTATCATGAGCAATATTACTCAACGTTACTAAAGGCTCAAGGAGAGGATTTATTCTTATCTGATAACCGACAAATTTATATGTTGGTTTGCCCTTTCGCTCAAGGATAAACCTGATATTCGCTATAGTTATGAAAAGCTCATCAAAGTACTTATATGTTTTTTTATCTTTATCATTTTCGTCAGTGAAATCTGCTATGGTAAAACTATAATATACATGCATTCGCGAGATATATTTTTTTTCCCATAAGTCTAAAAATTTTGCTTTCGATGGAATTACTTTTTGCGTGAATGTTCTACCATGGTCATCTTCCCAAACAAGCTCTGGTTTTCTTGATGTTGTGTCTGTTTCAGTGGTTTCTAATAACGCAGTGATGAAATCCAACACATCTCCTAGGGACATGTCATATTTATAATTCAAGGCATTTTTTTCTATACTACTGTATGAAGGTAATGTTATGATTGGTGATGTACCTTTTCTTAATACATTCAATTTATTTTCATTTGAATCATAGTAACAATCAACAAATTCTCTACTTGCCTCAGTCATTTTTTCCATAAGACCTTCATTCAACTCCTGTGTAGTCATGTTGGGTTTTATGTAATATCTCATGTCAAACCTTTTTTTCACTGATTTTGATGAATCTGTCATTTCTAATGGAATAGCAAGAAACTCAAAGTCTGGATGCTCAAGACTTATCTTTCTTATCTCAAGAGCTTTTGACGCAGGATATTCAATGAAGTCTCTCGGTAATTTATATGAGACTGTATTACCACTTATCGTGCCATCATTCATAACATGTTCATAGTATAATCCATCATATTTAGACATTTTATATGTAACTAAAAGATGGAGAAAGTTATTAATCAAGTAGATAAGATTCTTCATGATGGAGCACGTAAGAATAGTAAAGAACTAAACAATGCACTCATTATGCCATTTTCTGATGATTATCCATTTTGTACTAATGGTGTTTATTTCTACTGCGGTAAGATGGGTTCAGGTAAGACATATGGTGTTATTCGTCATATAATGATAACAGACCGCTTCACTAATACTCCATATTATGACTCAATAGTTATCTCAGCAACATCAGGAACAATGGATAAAACAGCGAAGACATTTATGAGTCAAGTTAAAGCACCAGTACTGAAAAAGGATGATAAAGAACTTATGCCTTATTTAATGAAGAACGTTAAGATGAAAGCAAAGTATTACGCTATTGTTGAGTTCGTTCAAAGTAAGTTCGAAAAAATTTCAGAGGAGATGGAACACATCTTAACAAAGCATCAACTAAGGAAACCTGATGGAAAGTTTGAGTATAAGAAGATTGCAATATATGTTGTAAAGAAGTTGAACAAATATCCTTTCACAAAGTATCCCAGTAATTCTCTATTAGTGTTAGACGATTATGGTGGTCATGACTTATTGAATGACCCACGTTCACCATTAGCGAACTTCATCACTAAGGTCAGACATTATAACTATACTGTTGTCATCATGTGTCAAACATGGAGACATATATGTTTAAACATTAAGAGACTATGCACTGACTTCGTTATCTTTCAAGGTTATTCTATGAGAGACTTTCAGTCAATGATTGAACAGTCAGGAGCAACAGAAGATTGGGAAGAGTTATGGAACAAATACAAAGAGCTACCAACACCTCGTTCATATATGGAAGTTCATATAGTTGCAGGAAAGACGGACTTTAAAGAAGTTAAGCAACAAAAGATGACATTATTTTAAGAAGAAATAAATGGGTTTTGGCGATTATGTTAAAGCTGGATGGGGTATGGTGAAAAAAAATCCTGGTCTTGTAATAGGTGCTGGATTTAACATTGCTAACAAACTTTTCCCTCAAGTTGGTCAAGTCGGTGGTGTTATCGGTAGTCTTGGTGAAAGAATTGCAAAAACTACATTAGGTGAAGATAATGCATTAACGAAGAATCTTAAAGCATTCAATAAAGCTCTTGGTGGTGACTTCAGTAGAGACAAGCCTGTTGAAACACCTATAGTTCAACCTCAACAAACTATTGACAACAATAAGTATAACGCATACATTGGAGGAGCTATTTGGAACAATCATAAGCCATTAGTTCAGTCAGTACGTGTACTATCAGACATGCCATGGATTAATGCTATTAGTGGCACTATACGCAGATAATATATTTTTATGAGGTTTAAATGAGTGAACAAGAGAGGAAACTCATTGATGAACGAGTTAAGAAATGGGAGAATGAACGTCCGATAATTCGTACCATAATTAGCGATCAAAAGTTCAAGCAGCATACATTTGATTTTTTGCGCGATATATATAATGATCTTGCTTTTGATTACAATGCTAGGCAATACTTTGAGAAAGAATATGTTCAAAAAGGTCGTATTAATTTCCCAATGAGAAGAGAAGGCTTTTTGATTACATCAACATATACAGCACGTGGTAGAGACCCTTTTACAGACGCGGTTCGTAACTTTAAAGCACGTTCTTCTATTAATGATGATCCAGATTTCTACATACCTTATTTTCGTCCACCTTCGCATCCTTTACGAACCAGTGATCCTGGATATGACGCTAAACGAAGATATATAGAGACGAAATTAGCTAAATACAAGGAACCTAAGGATCCAAGGACTGGAGAAGTAAAGGAATCACATGTCAAGATAAATAAGCTTTACAAAGTAGTTGAAGAATTGGAGAAACGATCTAATGAGATTAACGCTGAGAAGAAAAAGGAAGTACCAAATATGAACAAACTAGATAAGATGATTAAGGAATATAGAGGATTGGCGAATACATCGAGCGTTCTAATAAAGGAAGTAGAAAACACGACAAAGCTGCAGAAAATGATTCATGATGAATTACTGTTAGGTGAATTTTCTATAAAACAAAGACAGAGTAACTTAATGGGTGAGGCTTATTATTTGGAGAATTGGTATAATGAGAGGTTAAAACAAATGTCGACTCCAACACCAACTCCTACACCTACTCCTACAGTAGCTCCAACACCAACTCCCACTCCTGAACCAACAGTAGCTCCAACGCCAACTCCTACAGTAGCTCCAACGCCAACTCTGACACCAACTGCTCACGCAGGTCCTCCACCAATGTCGAGTAGTCATGGTATAACATTAAATAAACCAACACCTACACCAAAAATAACTCCTGTATCACATCCTAGTACAACTAACCCAGTATCTGATTCAAATCAAGCGGAAAGATCACAGGTTCTTAAAAGAGCTAATACACCAACTGCTTCCCCTATTAGAACACCAGAGCCAACTCCAAGAATCACAAAGGCGCCAACACCTTCACCGACTGTTGAACCAACTCCAGAACCAACAGTACCTCCAACTCCATCTCCAACTCCATCACCGACACCTACAAAAGCACCTACTCCATCTCCAACTCCGACTAAAGCTCCGACACCGTCTCCAACACCAACTAAAGCTCCAACACCGTCTCCAACTCCAGCTGAACCAACTGATGCAGAATCTATTCAAAATTGGTTAGACGAAGAAAAGCGAAAAGAAAAGGCTGCAATTGATGCTGCACTAGATAAAAACACACCACCACAGACACTTGGTGGTTACATGTTAAAGAAAGACAACATTCAAAGACAAGAACGTGCATTGAGTGTTGCCAGAGAACAAGCACAAGAAGAGAAGAAAATAGTTGAAGGAGAAGCTTCAAATAGAGGTGGTCCAGGAACTTACAAAGGATCAAACTATCCAGCAGAGAAAGCCTCGAGTGATAATGTTGTCTCAAGAGCTACTGATTTAGTTACCCATGGTATTCTAACTGGTGCAACAGCTGTTGGTAGTGCTATTGGAACCAGTGTTGACACTGTTGTTGATACTGTAAGAACTGTTACAAATCCTACACCTGAAGATAGGAAGGAAGAATTTCTTACTCTTAATACAAAGGCAAAACCAGGGATATGGATTGGTCGTGGAATTTTAAATGCTGGTAGTGCTATTGGCAATGGTGCTTCAGCGGTAGGGGGATGGCTCGGAAGAACAGCAACATCAACCGCAAATGGAATACTAACAGGTGCCAAATCACTTGGTAATTGGGCTGATGATAAGTATACAAAATATTATGAAGAAAAAGCTCGTAAGGCTAAGGAAGAAGCTGAACGAAAGGCGAAAGAAGAAGCTGAACGTAAAGAACTAGAGGAGCTTAAGAAGAAAGAAAAAGCTCGTAAGGCTAAGGAAGAAGCTGAACGAAAGGCGAAAGAAGAAGCTGAACGTAAAGAACTAGAGGAGCTTAAGAAGAAAGAAAAAGCTCGTAAGGCTAAGGAAGAAGCTGAACGAAAGGCGAAAGAAGAAGCTGAACGTAAAGAACTAGAGGAGCTTAAGAAGAAAGAAAAAGCTCGTAAGGCTAAGGAAGAAGCTGAACGAAAGGCGAAAGAAGAAGCTGAACGTAAAGAACTAGAGGAACTTAAGAAGAAAGAAAAAGCTCGTAAGGCTAAGGAAGAAGCAGATAGAAAGGCGAAAGAAGAAGCAGATAGAAAGGCTAAGGAAGAAGCTGATAGAAAGGCGAAAGCAGCAACACCATCGCCAACTCCATCTCCTTCACCATCTCCATCTCCTTCACCATCACCAACTCCATCGCCATCTCCATCTCCTTCACCATCAATAGCGGCTCCTGTGAGACAATTTGGTGCATGGGGTGCTGATTTAGTCAAAGATGCTGCACAAGGAATTGGAAAGGAACTGAAGAACACAACATTAGGTACAATAGAGCGTTTTGGTAATCTTACGGATTACACAATTAGATCAGCTGCTAATCTTTTATATAACCAGACTACTGATAACGGTACTGATGAATTGGCTGTAAACGGACTAGCATCAATTAAGAAATCAGCAGAAGATAAATACGATGAATGGAAAAAGAATATTAAGGGTGAATATAATAAGTATGCATATCCTGAAGAACATATGAAGTTAGAGCTTACCAGACTAAGATCAAAATATGGTAATGAAACAACAAATACTACAACGCAAACGACGAAAGCTGACAGAAAGATTGATGACACTCCTACTCCAACTCCTGCAATGGCGAACATCACAACAATTGCTCCAAGAGTTCCAACAGGAGAAGGTATATCAGGAAATGTTTCAACTACTCATAACATTACTGAAGCAGCTAATGTTTCAGCAGTTGAGCAACCTGTTGTTAATGTAACTCAGGAAAACGCTACTGAAACATCAACACCAAGACAGGATGTAAATAATGAACGTCCAGAAGTTAAGGAGGTTGCAAAAGCATACCTGGAGAAAAATACTACACAAGTTCTTGAAGCAGAAAAGCATCTCAATTCAGACAAAACACCATCTCCAACTCCTGAAGCATCAGTTCCTCCAGCAATTGGTGGAAATATACCTTCAGTATCACCATGGCAGAAATTTTATGGATTGTTTAAAGGAGCGAATAAGGTAATGGATGCTGCTGAGAATCTCCAAAAGTTCAAGAATGAAGTCGCAACTGGTGCAAAGGAAATAGAAGAGAATGATAAACAAGCTGCTGAATTAGCTAAACAACAAGCTGAAGCAACTAAACAAGCAGCAGCTCCTAAACAATCTATATCTAAGTCTCAAAGACAAGGTCCTGACCCAAGTGCTAAAGTCAAACAGAATCCAACACCACCTGCAGCAGAGAAGTCCAAGAAGGACAAGGACAAGAAGAAGGATAAATCAAAGAAGGACAAGGACAAGAAGAAAGATAAGGATAAGAAAAAATCGTCAAAAGATAAAAAACATAAAAATTTATCCAGTAAGAAATGAGTCAAGTCATTAAAGCATCAACTAAACAAAAGTGGTTAACTGAATATATAAAAGATGGTAAGGTTCCTGATGGATATTATGTACATACAATGAAAGACGGACGTGTACAGTTCCGTAAAGTCAAGCAACCTCTCAATGATGAACAGATCAGAAGGAAGATCTCATTGTATGAAACAAAAATAAAGGACTTACAAGCTAAACTCGAAACCCACGATACTTCTCAAGAAAACTAGGCATATCTTTAACATGACCTTCATTAATATTTTTCCTCCAATACTGTACTTCCATTTGTGACAACCTGTTTGGATTACCTTCACGCATACCTCTACCTGTCACTTTTCCTGTATTTTCGTTCTCAAACGTAACATCATACTTTACATCATTACCGACAAGTTCATGACCATCAATACTTTTAACAGCACCGTGTCTTCCTTGATCTAAAGTTTCTCCTTGCTTTAATCCATGCTCTATTTTTGTCCATATCTGATAACGTGGATATCTTGCAACACTTCCATCTTTTGCTCTTAACAAGTATGCACTTGTATCAACTGAATCAACTGTATAATAAGAAGGATCAAGATGTCTTCTTTGTTGGTTACCTTTACCCCATGTTCTTGGTTCAACTATGACTTGAACTTTTTGACCAGGTCTTAAGTTATAAAGGTTATTTTTTCTGACATACTCTTCTTTCAATCTTTGCTTCTTTATATATTCCTCATTATCCTTTTCTGTGAAATCATCAGGCTTTTGTTGTGTGCTTGAATGATATTCAGTGTTGTAGTCATTAATAATTTGTCTCATTGTATCTGCAGTGAAAGGTGGTGTTTTATCACCTTCTTTGAGGTTTAACTTCATATGTAACATAGTTCTAATAGTTCTACAGAACCTATTAATAATACCTAGTATGTTATGATTGTATTTCTGTGTCGTCATGTGCTCAATGTTATGACTGACCAACAGATCTCGAACATTTTGTGTCGTATAAGCTGGGTCTTCATCACTAGTAAGTATTGTAGGCTTCATTTCACCTGTAGCTTGTGAAATGAACTTCTGCATTGCACTTAGAACATTGTTTGAGTTCTTTTCACTCATTGGGAACGCATAACCTTTTCTACTGTTTACATTGATGAACAAAAGAAAATATGGTGGTGTTCCACCAGGATTCTCAAATGTATCGAATTGATAAGCTCCCATATCAGTTGAATATATTGGTAGCATCAAATCCTCTTGTATTAAAGTTTTTTCTTGTTTACCAACAGTCATTTTTTTATTAACGTTAAAGTCTTACAGGCATTGAGTAATCGCTATAACCATCATGGTCTGCGAATTCATGTAATCTTGATGCATCAGGTTCTTTCTTCGTTGGTGCATGAAACCTTGCTTCATCATAAAGGTTCATATAATGGTTTGTCACGTTTGGGGTAGACCCAATTTTTGCATATTGAGGATATGAGTAATGATACACTAAGTTGAACCCATTACTACCATCATCAACATATATCTTTGGTGGAGGTTGTCTTATTAAATTCCTTCCTCTTGGGGCTTTGAGTTGGACGATCTGATCTAGATCATTGTAAACAACTCCTGTTGCAGTATATTCTGTGTTGTTCTCTGGGTTAATGTTCGTCATTTATATGAGAATAAAACAATTTTTACTCATAACAAATGAGATCGAAGTCAATTCTTTATGGTGCAGCTAATCTTCCAATTGAACCAACAAGCAATGTTGATTCAAGAACAACTAATAACATTGTGATAAAGAACTATCCATCTGGTACAGTAAGTGATGCTCCAACAGAGATAAAAAAAGAGGAAACAACTACGAACTCAGAAGCACCAATGTATCCTCCTCCTTTAAGTCCATTAACTTCCAACCTGACCTCATCGAGATCTGTGGAGACTTCATCGAGGATTGGTGTAGAAGAGTATTTACTTAGTATATACCAGAAGATACTTCTAGACCAAGACAAAGAGCTCTTTTCTAACTTAGTGAGCAAAGATCAGATCTTACTACCTAAGCCAGACTTGGAAGAAGTTGTTCACAGAATGACTGGGTTCAAGTGTGAAATAGACCTACTGGACCCAGACATCACATGTTGTGGTATTCCACCACCTTTCTCAAAAATAGCTCAGATCAGAATCATTGATGAGAACAATATTGCTCAAGAGTTTAAGTATGCATATAATGCACAATATACTGAGTTAATAAGTAGGTATAATTTATGTCTTAAGTATGTTATTGTTTAACCAAAAAATTTTTTATCTAATGTTAAATATGGTTGTTCAAACAAGAACAAAAGCACAAATGTTTCAAGACTTACTCAATAAAACTTATTGTTTACTCAAGTAATTATTTTAGAACGTTTCGACGTACTCCTTGATCTTATCAAGAGCTTCGAGCATCCGCTTCTTTGCATTGTACTTGGCGAGGATGGCTTGCTCAATGGTGAGCTCGAAGGCTTCTTTACCGATCGGACGGTGATCGCGAAGATCTTTGAGTGCATCAAGAGCTGCAGTGTACTCTGATGGTAAATGGGAGCCATCTAGTAATGGGTACAAAATGAGCATGTATTCCTGTAGTAAGTTCTCCTGTTTCAAGCGGGACTTGAACTCTTCGCGGAGATCTTGAAGCTTTTGGAGCTTCTCAGTGGCTTGAAGGTATCAATGATGACCTTCTCTTGTCCTCAAGTGCTTGTGGGAGGAAGTGGACATAAGCTGTTGACTTCATCAAAAATGAAGTGGTCATGACACTTTTTAAGTTAATGTCCGAGCCATACAGTGATGTCGAAGCAGCACATGAACCAAAGAAGAAGTCTTGCTGGGAAAAGACAAAGATTGTTGGTAACGCAATCCTAGCCATTTGTGTTGTTTTGAACTTGATCGTACTTCTGATCTTGTTCTACAAACTCAACAGAGGTTATTGTCTCAAGTAAACACTTATTTTTATTACCATATAAATGATTTTTACCAAACCTCCTTTACCTTTCATAGGTAATAAGTCGAAGATCAGGAAAGATCTTATCGACATACTCAAAGACATCAAAGGGGATTATGTCTTCGTTGACCTCTTTGGTGGTTCTCTCTATATCTCTCATCTGTTGCATATTATGTTCCCAAAAGCAACGATCATAGCTAACGACTATGATAACTACGTTGATAGACTGAAACACATTCATGACACGAATGAAATACTTAAGGAACTTAAGGAGAGAATAAATGTTAAGCCAGATGAGAAAATTCCTACTGATCAGAAAGAGATCGTCAGAGAAGTTATAAGTAAAGCTCCATACATAGACTGGGATACATTATGTTCACGTCTTCTCTATTCTGGAGCATACAAATACTATGATCTTGACACATTAATGAAGAAAGTGTTATACCTCAGATATACTAACTTATTTGGTGAAAACATAGATGACTATCTTGAAGGTTTAACTATTGTTCATAAAGATTGGAGAATACTCTTCAATGAGTATAAAGATCTTCCCAATGTTTTCTTTATATGTGATCCTCCATACTTCCATACTTATTCTATACAGTATGGAGATGAATGGACTCTTAAAGATACTGTAGAAACCTTTGATGTCCTTAATTATCCATCTATTTACTTCAGTAGTGATAAATCTTATACAGAAGAACTTATAGAGATATTGACAAAAAGATATGGAGAGAAATTTCTATGAGAAAGCATGTTATAGATAGAGGTTTAATTAATCCTAACACTCAGAAAAATAATGAAGTAATATATGTCACTTTTTCTGTTAATGGAGAAGAGAAAGATCAAGAAGATAATAGTTGATGAGGGAACTGAAGAAGCGACGACATTCATCTTTGACGACGGAAAGCTCACATTCGTTGTCGATAAAAATGGACAACACTTACACAAAAGAAAGAGACCAAGAAAATTTTTAGATCTCCCAAAAGCTAGGAAACCAAAGGAACCATTTCCAGTACCAGCCGTCCAAGAACCAGAGAGACTTTTGATACCAAAACCTGTGGTTGACAAATATGATCCAGATCAGTTCTTCCCAAAAATACCAAAGTTAGAATAAAAACTCCTTTATTTCTTTAGTATTATATAATAAGTCTATTAGTAAGCTCTGTTCTCGTTCTGTTCTGGTATTTTGACGTCTTTTCATGGTCTCGCATAATAAGATCATGAACTTTTTCTTGAGATACTCGAAGAGCTGAGGTAAGTTATCATATTCTGGATATGTAGGAAGCATCCCTGCTATCGTAAGTGTTGTATCAATAAGGATTGGACTTATATCGGAAAAGTCGAGATCTGGAGTAGAATAAGAAGGTAAGTCTCTTACATGTAGGTAGTCATTATATGCTTTACGCATGAGACTGAGTTTCTGGAGCACAACTATGAGACTTTGGTTCTGACGTTCAAGTTTGCTTAAAGTTCTCTCCAAGCTTCTGTAATAAACGTCAACCTCTGTAAGAGCAGATATTTTTGCATTGATCTCGGAGATCTTTTCTTGAACTTCACCAAGTTTGACCTTAACTGACGTTTGAGCTCCCATCATGTTTTCATCAAGGTCATTCTCTATGTCATCAATGATATCTTCCCATGAAGTCATGTTTTCATCATTGATCTTAACGTGAACACTCATGAAAAAAATGTCATGTAAAGTATAAATGTCAGATTTTTACTCTTGAGCTTCTTCTCTCTGGATTGACTCGTCTGTAGGGCTTAATGTGCCATCACGTTCGACCAGAAGGTTCTGCTCAGGTCTGTCAAGGAGCTGTCTGTAGGTCGTGAAGGTTTCAACGAGTCCTTGGTAAGGAGTTTGGAGATCAACATCGACCCATGGGTGTTTGCGTAAGAAAGCAGCAAGGCTTTCACGCTTGGAGTCAATGACATCTTTCTTATTGGTTAATCCTTCTTCAAAGCTTAGGATTACTCCTGCAGTTGATTCAAGTCTTTGGATCTGGCGTCTGGAAACCTTGGTGAGTTGTCTTATCCTCTCGTTTCCAAATACATGCAGGAGATATGCAGAAATTACTTCATTAAGTTCGATTAAACAAATTGGATGAAGATCAGTCATGGCTTTTGTAAAGCAATCTTTTGTAAAGCTGTTTTGTAAAGCAGACTTTTGTAAAGCAATCTTTTGTAAAGCTCTTTTGTAAAGCAGACTTTTGTAAAGCAATCTTTTGTCAAGACGTCTTTTGTAAAGCAAAAGTATTCAATTTTGTGAGAAAATGCTTTTGTAAAGCGTCTTTTGTAAAGAGTCTTTTGTAAAGCTGTCTTTTGTAAAGCGTCTTTTGTAAAGCTGTCTTTTGTAAAGCTGTCTTTTGTAAAGCTGTCTTTTGTAAAGCTGTCTTTTGTAAAGCTGTCTTTTGTAAAGCTGTCTTTTGTAAAGCAGTCTTTTGTAAAGACATAACCGACGACCGAATGTCCCAAGATGGTACAACACCAGCTCCAGCATCACCAACACTAGATATGATGGCAATGATGATGCAGATGATGCAACAGCAAACCCAGCTTATACAGCAAATGCAGGAAAAGAAAACTTTCAATAAACCTGCAAAGAACTCACAAGATCTTGAAGCTGGACTCAATGCTCTCAGGAACGACTACAAGAGAGAGCAGATGACGTTTAGGAAGAAGGGTGATGAAGATTATGAGAATGATCCGATCGAGGAAGACGAGATCAAGTCCACTGCATCCACAAAGACCCTCCAGGATGAAAGAGATGATGAGGGATTCCTTACCAAGTCTCAAAGACTCTTTGTCCTTGAGTTCTTCACGATCTCTGCCTTGAGATCTATGAGGAATTGGAAGGGTCGCGTTCCAAGTGGCTCAAACAAGCGCGAACTACTCATGACCGCAGTACCGCTCACTAAGACAAAAGTCCAGCTCATGGACTTTATCCTTTCCGCTTGTCCCGACGAGATCTAAGATCTGATCAGAGTAAAAACTTACATTTATGAGCTAAGCTCAGTAATAATTAGTTGTTTATTCTTTCTTCTCATACTTCTGTGCAAGGTTTCCACGGAAGAACTCAAGCAACATTTGGATCTTTCCAAGCTTTCGACCTTCTTTTTCGAGGTCATCCTGGTAAGTTCGGAATGCGTCAACGTGTGAGCTCGCATAGAATGCAGCAACAACAACCTCTTCTGCACCTTCTTTGCTGTCAAGTGGCATGAACTCGAATCCTTCCATTCGACCAAATAAAAGTGACAAAAATGTCAATGAGACCCACTCGTTGCATAGATGCTAAACCTGGTCCGAAGATGCAAAAGTTCTTCAGAACACTCATGTCTGACCAGAGGGAGTACGGTCATGAAGAGGTCATACAGATCTTCGATCAGTGTGTACCAAAGCCTGAGAATCCAGACGAACTCTTCATGTAAATTTACTTGCTTCAATGGAGAGATGAGAGACCAGGTATGAAACTCAGACCAATAACAATCTTTCCAGGTTTCTGCAATTACCTAGAACAAGCATGCCAGATCAAATGGTCTGACACCATCTTCCTCCAAAAATAAACTTTATCGTTTATAACACTTCAGGATCTACATCTATTTCTTCTGCTTCATCCTCAATGTCGATCTCTTCGACAGGTTTGATAGCAGCTTTGAGTAAGTTCTTACCCATTGTCTTAAGTTCAACTGGGTTATATTCTTTGTCTTTACTCTTTGTTGATTTCGTGAGATCTACATATAAACAATAACTTTTAGTCTTGTCAAGGTTTATTCTCGCTGAGAAATGGTCAGGAATGTTTATAGCTATCTTTTCAAACTTGAGTAAATTAGCTAAACCTTCATTTGTGTATTTCTGCTTATCGACAAAGATCATGATCGGACTTGCACTATAACCATACTTTCCTTGACATAATGTTTGTGGTAAGCATATAAGTAGTCTCTTTGCTGTTTTATTTTGCTTCTTCACTTCATCTACAAACTGTTGGATCTTAAAGAACTTTATATGATGTTCAGACATCTTTATATACCCGATAAAAAGTTCAGATAAAAAAATAATTAGCTATATTTTTATTAGTGCATAAATGAGTCTTTCTTTGAGATTTTCTGATGAAGATCTAACTTTGGTAAGATCTTTAAAAGATGATGAAAACATTCTTTCTGTCATTGATGAAGAAAAGAAATACTTCAGTAATGATGTAAAAATAGAGCTACTCATTCATACTGAGAAACAGTTTGTGATCGTGATCTTGAGTTAAGCAGCTCTGAACCAAGCGAATACAGTCATAAATGGTGGTAAGAAGTCTTGACCTTTTCCTGTTGCATCTGTGATTCCAGCTACTGTGTGAGTATGGTTTCCTGCAGATCCGCAGAAAATACCTGTACTAACATCTCTAGGGTCATCTGTGATATCATATCTATTCATACCTTGTCTATCAGAACCTGCTGCAAGATTTGTATAACCTCTTTTTGTCATTGAATGTGAATGCTCTCCATTAGTAGATGTTGTTGCACTGAACCTATGGGAGTGTGGTGGAAGGTTTTCAACTCTGATAGTCTTTGAACCACCAAAGTCCATTGATGAGTTAGAACAGTAAAGAAACTGATCAACAATCGGTTGCCAAACACCTCCATAAAGGGTTTGCGGGCTTGTTGAGCTCATTGATGTAAATATAGAACCAATTGGATACATCATGTCAAACATGTTAGAAGGTCTATAAGTATAATCTACTGTGGTGACATCGTTCAAATAAAACTCAAACGTATCTCCAGGATGAATAGTTAAGTTTGTTCCATCTTTTTTGTGGAACACAAGTTCAATAGATTTACCATGACTCAATGTATAGTAACTTGGACCTTTTTCTGATGGACCAATGTTATAATTTATAAATATTGCAACTTTACCCATATCATTATTACCAAAGCTAACTGTAATGCTTTCAGGTATTCCATTGTTTACAGATGCATTAGAGATCTTTGAGATCTGTTCATTAACATAAGTTTTGTCTGCTTTCTTATCTAACATTGCTGGTAGTTCATATACTTCGAAGTTTCTGGCATGACCTTCAATGTTCGTACATTTACTATCTAAACTGTTAAGAGTATCTTTTACGCTAGTGCTTGGATCTTCTTGTGGAGCACTTGAACCTAAAGTATAGTTCAAGATAATGTCATCAGCTCTTATTTTCTTGATTTGAACTGGTTGGTCATTATCAGCTCCTATTTTATTGATTATAACAGGTTTGTCTTCTCTTGAACGAATTGATTTAACTGTCAAAGGTTCAGTGAACTCATTATTTTTCAAAGGAAACAATGTTGTATTGATGTTTTCACCATTAATATATACTTCTTTTGTATCAATACCAGATGGGAATGAAACTCTTTCATTAACTTTAACTGTTGTACCATCACCTGGGTACATATCTTTCTCTGGACCTTTGATTGTCTTAAGTATGACAGACTGTGATAAAGTATATTCTTTAGATGCAACTTTACGTATCTCTTCGTCAACATAACTTTTGTCAGCTTTGTCTGCAATCTTAAGTGCAGTTCTTCCTCCATTATTTTTGTTCTCCTCAACTTTCTTCGCTAATTCAGCAAGAATGAGATAAAGATAATCAGTAAGGTCATCAGTACCAGACATAGTAATATTATTGTTCTTTCTTGATGTATTAGCAACTTTCACTAAGGTCACAAAATCAGGGTACAAAGTACTTAACGTAGAAATGATTGTTTTTGGTCCAGGATCTTTCTCTTCTTTATCATTAGCATCACGTGCCATTAGAATTGGTTCCAAAGGTCCAGTCACATCAAAACTCTCAAGTTCCATATAACCTTCATTTCTGAATCTTTCTATATGAGTTATCTTCTGGAAACTTGTTTTAGTCTTTTCAACTAAATTTTTTATTCCATCCACAAAACCTCCTTTATGATTTGGACCAAGATTACCCAGAGTGTCAAGAACAGTATCTATACCTTCTTGACTTTCAACAAAAGCCCAAAGAGCATTTATTTGACTCTGGAGTGATATCCATGAGGCTGCAGTAGCACCGGCGTTTGCTATGGCAAAGATGAATGATAAAGGGTTGAACTTAAGACCAGATTCTTTATCTTTGACAATTTCAACGAAGTCATTGATATTTTTCTTCAAGTATTCCTTAGTCAGAAGAACTCCATCGCCAGCTATACCAGTTGCTTTTGTCTTTCCTTTAACATCAAATGTGATTGGTTTCTTCAATAAAATAACTTCTGGTGTTGTACTGATGCTATCATTAGTGGAGAAAAATTCTCCGACATGACTTGCTAAGTATTCTTTCGTCAATAATGTTCCATCACCAACAATACCAGTTGCTTTTGGACCATCTTCTGTGAATGTCAATGGTTTCTTTAACATAACTTTATCTAAGTATATTGCAATACCACTATTTTGTACTTGTTCATGACCTAATATATAAGCAAATGCTGCGTTTAAAGCATTATACAATGTATCTTCTTTAAATGTTAATTGACTGTTTTCAATCATTGGTATATTGAACAGTGTAGACCTTGGGTCAAAATGAACTCCATGGTCAATCGATAATAACCGTTTAACATGATATATTATAGTCTCTAATGCTTCATTAATATTTACCTCACGAGTTTCTTGCAAACCATTACTCGCCATACATGAAAACATATAATCTCTATCAGTTGTGAAGAATAATCTAAGTAATTATTCTCTACTTTTGTCACACGATTCTGTAACGCTTGAAGGTATTGATTTAAGTCTGTTTCAACAATTGTACCATCTGGTTGCTCGATAGGTAATATACCAGGACCGATGGTAATGTCTTCATCAGCACCTTCTTTATGTATGACTAAAGCATTATCAGTAATTCTGAGAGTATATTCTTTATATTGAAGTACGCTAGACTTATAACATTCATATGCATATGGAACAACACTCATTCTTTTACTACATATAAAAATGATGTATTATCTACAATCGACTGATCCTAATAACTACGGGACAATACAGTTTCAAGCAGATCCTAACATGGGCATCCAAGTAAGATAAAGATGAGAGTAAAAAGTGTCAGTACTATGGCGAACTTTATTGTTTGTGACGAAACAGATTATTTTGTCTTACAGTTAGACGAAGATGGAGAAGAAAAGGTGTGTACATTTAAGTCAGCTCTTTCATTTGATATGGATACTATTGTATCAAAACTACAAGAGATTGTAACAAAACAGTTTGATTATTATAACAAGAAAAAAAGGTCAACATAATGTAACAGTTTCACTGAGTGCTACGAATCAACTTATATTTACGTCACAGGACAAAGGACATAAAGTCTATTTTAAAAGATGCTTCACATAGAGCAAATCTTATTTTAGGTGCATATGGAATAGAACTACCTATTGTACATAATTATTATCTACAAATGCCAAAACCACCTATGCTCAACTTCGGGTATCAGTTATACCTTCGTTCATCAATGTCTGTCATCTCTGGGTTCAATAATATTGACCAAGTTGATGATCGAAGAAAGATCATGTACAGATCTACATGTTATAACATCAATGAGTTCTGGATATCTGGTAAACCACTTATATGTAAGGAATCCTCACCATGGATAGATGCATTTCCATGGGAACTAACTAATGTTACGTTTACCTTAGTTGACTTCCAAGATCAGCCTGTTCGATTATTGTCACCAATGTTTATGGTGATAGAGATTAAACCAGATAAGCCAGAAGTTAGAGAAACCAATGATGTCAGTGATGATGATACAGAATCTTCGTACGATTATGATTACGATGACGATTAAAAAAAAATAACGTATATTTTTTTATCGGTTATAAAAGACCAACATGCTCAATGCTATAAAAGGATTAGTTAATAACCTTTCACCAGAAGATAAGAAAGGTATGCTTGATATGTTTGGGATCAAAATGCCTAAGAAAGCTAAAGACATTACCAATAAATTAGCTCTGGCAATTAAGAATCAAGGAGGTACAGGAAGTGTAGCAGATATTTTCAAGAATGCTAAGAGCTTCTATGATGACTACAATGGTATCATGAATGTTCCAGCTTCAAATTCCCCAGTTGCTTTAGATCACGATCAGAGATCTCATAATAGAGCGTTAATGGAGATGCAACCAATATACTCAGACCCTCCACCAAAGATTGATGAGAGCGAATTAGCATACAAAGAAATACAGAATGCCTTTTACGTTGTTAAGAACATTAATGGTCAAAAACTTCCTGATGAGAAATGGTTAGACCCAATAACTAAAGCAGGAGAAAGATTCATTATGTTTAACATTGACCAATACAGTCCAAGAGGAAAAGATTACTTCAACAAGATGTTTCCAAGAGTTATGGCAAAGTTCATTGGACAGATAGACCTTTTCAAACAGAAGTGGACATTCTATTACGACTTTGATGAGAAGAGAAACATTTTGCGTCATTTGAACATCAATACAATGGGATCATTAGTTCATCAGTTACTTAATGAAGCTCCAATAGCAGAAGTACAAGAATTAGCATCTAAAGTCCTTGAATCAAACTATGACTTCTTCCTTTGTAGTATTCCTTCGTTAAGGAAGATCGAGATCTTTGACTATACAGCTTATTCAGATGTTGATGCTTCTGCTTTGAGAAAAGGAACGTACACACCATATAAACTCACAGCTGAAGAACAAGTTATGTTAGATACGATGAGAGCAGCAGGTCAAGAAAAGATCGCACTCAAGATCATCAAACAAAACCATTCAAAGAAGAGAAACAGGTCACGTAATGGTCAGCTTTGGACATGGACATGCAAATTACCTATTAACTTAGAGAGGTATCAGATCTTCAACGAACTTAATGCAGAGACAGCAAAGAAGATGATGAAAGATTCATGTTTCATCTACGCTTGTATTCAAGCTGGTGTTGACGAAGCAACAATTAATCATATGAGGGAAATCATTCGTGTCAAAGATTTTCCAATGTCAAAGATTAAGGTTATTGCCAAAGAAACAGGAATAAGGTTCCATGTCATCAAATACAACGAGAAGTATTCAAATCATTCATATACTTATGAACCAGATGAAGAACCAAAGATGACAGTAGAACTTTTATTAATGTATGACCACTACATGTTGAACGAAAAGCTTCCAATAAGTTCAATGTTCATCAAGAACTATGAAGATGTTTGTAAGTTGTGCAAGGATTGGACTTTAGAGAAGAAGATGTTAGTTAACAGAAGATATGAAACAAGGTATGCAATTAACTCAAAGTTAGTTACACCACTTGCAAAAGTCATTGAACTCTTGTTTGCTAACAATTATTTCGAACCAATTAGAACAGGAGAACTTTGCACATACTTCACAACGATGTATAATGAGAACCTTGAAGAAATGATTGACCTCACATACAATGAGCGTTATTGCGCAAGGATGAAGAAAGATTGGATCATCTTTTGTACTTGTTCATGACCTAATATATAAGCAAATGCTGCGTTTAAAGCATTATACAATGTATCTTCTTTAAATGTTAATTGACTGTTTTCAATCATTGGTATATTGAACAGTGTAGACCTTGGGTCAAAATGAACTCCATGGTCAATCGATAATAACCGTTTAACATGATATATTATAGTCTCTAATGCTTCATTAATATTTACCTCACGAGTTTCTTGCAAACCATTACTCGCCATACATGAAAACATATAATCTCTATCAGTTGTGAAGAATGGAGCATCTAAGTAATTATTCTCTACTTTTGTCACACGATTCTGTAACGCTTGAAGGTATTGATTTAAGTCTGTTTCAACAATTGTACCATCTGGTTGCTCGATAGGTAATATACCAGGACCGATGGTAATGTCTTCATCAGCACCTTCTTTATGTATGACTAAAGCATTATCAGTAATTCTGAGAGTATATTCTTTATATTGAAGTACGCTAGACTTATAACATTCATATGCATATGGAACAACACTCATTCTTTTACTACATATAAAAATGATGTATTATCTACAATCGACTGATCCTAATAACTACGGGACAATACAGTTTCAAGCAGATCCTAACATGGGGCATCCAAGTAAGATAAAGATGAGAGTAAAAAGTGTCAGTACTATGGCGAACTTTATTGTTTGTGACGAAACAGATTATTTTGTCTTACAGTTAGACGAAGATGGAGAAGAAAAGGTGTGTACATTTAAGTCAGCTCTTTCATTTGATATGGATACTATTGTATCAAAACTACAAGAGATTGTAACAAAACAGTTTGATTATTATAACAAGAAAAAAGGTCAACATAATGTAACAGTTTCACTGAGTGCTACGAATCAACTTATATTTACGTCACAGGACAAAGGACATAAAGTCTATTTAAAAGATGCTTCACATAGAGCAAATCTTATTTTAGGTGCATATGGAATAGAACTACCTATTGTACATAATTATTATCTACAAATGCCAAAACCACCTATGCTCAACTTCGGGTATCAGTTATACCTTCGTTCATCAATGTCTGTCATCTCTGGGTTCAATAATATTGACCAAGTTGATGATCGAAGAAAGATCATGTACAGATCTACATGTTATAACATCAATGAGTTCTGGATATCTGGTAAACCACTTATATGTAAGGAATCCTCACCATGGATA